TTCGACCCTCCGGCTTGTCCCCACTGGGGCGGTATTTTTGAGGCGGTAGTTAAGGTTGCAAAAACGCATCTCCGTCGCGTTATTGGCGAAACTATTTTGACATTTGAGGAGCTCGCCACTGTATTCTGTAAAATTGAGGCGGTACTCAACTCTCGGCCCCTCTGTCCCCTCTCGTCCGATCTGATTGATTTGGAGGTTCTAACCCCGGGACACTTTCTGATTGGCCAGCCGCTTAACGCTCTGCCCGAGTACCCCTTCAGGGAAACGAACTCTTTGCGGTTGAGCAGGTTTGACCTGCAGCAACAGATGACTCAGAGTTTTTGGCACCGATGGTCTCTGGAGTACCTACATCTTTTGCAGCAGCGCATTAAGTGGTCTGAAAAGACGGATCCGCCTCGGGTTGGAGACCTCGTGTTGGTTAAAGACCCCAAAGCTCTGCCTTTGTATTGGCGCCGTGGGCGCATTGTTAAGTTGTCGTATGGATCGGATGGGGTGCCTAGGGTGGCAGAAGTTTTGGTCGGAGATTCGGTCTTGCAACGTGCCGTCGCGACCTTGTCCCGTTTGCCAATCTACTCGCGGACATAATTCCTTATGTCCGGGGCAGGGGTTTGTTTAGGCAAAATGTTAACCATTTGAAATTGTATTATTAACGCACGCTAATAGCCTAGCATCGTATCGAGGTCACATCCCCCCCCCGCGCTGACATTTCATTCGAGCGGTGTCGACGGGACACGTCGAGGCAATTCATTATAAAGATCGGTCGATCGTAGCGGACGTTTTTGTTTTTTCTGTTAAATTTGCCGCGTCGCGAACGGAGGTGAACTTTGTCCCACTGTCGTCGGACGTGTCACGTGTTGGTTCTTGACTGTGATCAACGGATTTAGTTCCTTTTTTGTGAAGCTAGTTGAATGTGAATAGACTGACCTAGTGCGTTAAGAGGGAAATTGCCATCGGGGATGCCGCAGGAGAATACCGCCTCCGGGGAAGCATCGTGCCATCTGGTTCAGGCCACCTACACACAGACACTCACACACCACTCACATGCACTACACCTTCAGCCTGACAGATCCAGGTCACCATTCTCCGCTCCCGAAGCAGGTAAGTACCGTATTAGTTAAATACTCTCTATTCGGCTAGCCTTCCCTTTAAAGCTTAGTAGGATAGAACATTCCACCAGGCCATTCGGCCCGTCCTTAATTGTTCAACGAGCCTACAGCTCTGGGCCCCTGTGGGATCGTACTTTGTCGGGACAGTTAGGAGCGTTTACAATATGTAAATTGTATTTATTTTTCAACGTAATCGCCTTTTAATCAAATACACATTGAATGGTGTTTTATATTTTGGTTAATTCCGCACAATACGACGGGGACATCACCCATCGTCGCCGTCGAATTTTATATTTAAGGTATGAGTTAAAATAAATTGAGTTGTGGGACAACAATGAAAGCTTTTGAATCTCAGCTAAATAAAGGATGGTCACACGTCGGTCTACCATCAAAAAATATTAGTTTTTTAACGTTTTCTTGCGTAGCGGCCGTTGTTGGACGTCAGAAGCGACTGTCGTCATTGCAGGCGGTTCTATTCTATATGCCACTATAGTATAAGACGGAGCATTGTCTACCAAAGAAGACTGCAGTTCTTTAAAAACTCTTTTTGCAGTAAAATTATTCAGGTAGAAATATCTAATAACTGCACCATGTTCGAATTTCTCCATTTTGTAAACGAATAAAATCAAATGGGTATTTTATTTTATTTATTTTATTTTATAGGATAGGGTGATAAACGAGCACACAGTCCACCTGATGGTAAGTGGTTGCTGTGGCCCATAGACATCTACATCTATCCTCTATTACAAATCGCCCTTATCCTATAAAAAAAAAGTGGTTGCTGTGGCCCATAGACACCTATATCTATCCTCATTTGCGAATCAAAATGCAGATGCGTTGTCACTCGTAAGGATTAAGATGGAATGCCTCTTTTCCAGTAAAAAGGGTCGCCGGTTCTCTACACTCACTATAAGAAACACAGCAGTGTCAAGCTGCATTTTACGCTGGTATTCTATGAATGCGTGGTCCTTCCCCGATCGAAGTATAATTTTTAGCTTTATTTTTTTTGGCCTTTGCTTCAAACATATTTAAGATTCTAAAAAAATTTCATTTCCATAACTAATTTTCATATTCCGAAAAGTTATAGATTAACCTAGTATAAATTTGCATATAGAAGTGCAAACGCTATGAGAAACTTTCGCAATATTTTATTTACCTGACAACATATATTACACCTTAATTTTTTTCGTATAAGGCTTAAATGAGAAAGTATTGTCAAAGAAAATACTATAAAAGCAAGTCTTTGCGGGTAGACTATTATTTTATTGCAAGTTTCAATAAAAGCGTATATTATTATTGTTAATTTTAGTAAAACGTAAGGTACAGCCTATTAAAAGACCATTTTAGAACTTAGGCCCCTCCCTTAGATTGCCTCACAGATGGATGTTTACTGTTGTTGCCACGTTTGAAAAACGGTTATCAGGACGATGCTCATTCTAATCTTTCGTGTTTTTTTTTTGTTTTTTTTTTTCGTTTGAGCTGTAAATTCGTTTAACCGATAAGGTCGCACACGTACACGTACGTACGCATATTTTTATGAAAACTTAATAAATCTGTAATATTTTGAGGCAAAGCAATTTTTAAATGTTTTTTTTTTCAATCAGTTGTCATATGCTAATGACATAATATTTCTTAAATTATGGATAAAGTACAAAATGGAATCAAATCGCTCTTTAGCTTGAGACTTTCTTAGGCAACCGACAAACATCAAGTATCTTTAGTACTGTTGATTATCACTGTTCAGTTAATAAAATAAATATATACCGAATCACCATTATATCCGGTTGATGAATAGAATAGAATAAAAGAATAGAATAATTTTTTTATCAATATTGATTACAATTAATTCTTATTGAAAGTCATTTTTTATTTTATTTTACCAATGGTTCGAAGAAATTCCTCTATCCTGGGAAGAAACAGCAAGAAACCCAGCGGGACAGTCTTTTAAAATAAATTTTAAAATACAAATGATTACACACTATTTACAAAATTTATTTTAGAAACCACCTGGAGCAACCACCTCGTTCCCAGGGCTTATTATCAACCATGTATTCATTTATATTATAATAACCCTTTTTAAACAGCTTTTGTTTAATAAAATATTTAAATGTGGTAATAGAGATACCTTGTATATTTTCTGGGACTTTATTATAATAGCGTATACATTGCCCCAAGAATGAATTAAAAAAAAATGTTATTTACACCACAACTAAGACTTAGGGAAAAAAGAAGGGTTCATTCCTCGTCCCACATTTGATGTGAGCTAGGTCTAAATAAAACATCCAAAACGTAGTAAGATTCTGGAATCTCACTTGAGCAAAATACTAAATGCTGCAACCACCAAACTTCCTCTTAGTCGGCAAATGACATAAGAGCATCATAATCATTGTTACTACTACAACGTATCAAAGACTCTTGCTGGCGTTTCAAGTGTTATATAGTACCATTATATATAAAAAGTAAGTGAAAATAAAACGCGATTAAATCTCATAATAATTATAATATTTTCAGTTGATACTTAACCTTATCTAAAAAATGTTATTTACACCACAACTAAGATAAAACATAACAAAAGCAAACACACAAGCAAAATATTAATTAGTAAAAACATATTGACAAGATAATCTTGAGAATGTATTTATTAGAGTTACCAAATACACGTGTATAGCTTGGGTTAAGTACCTGTATTTAACATATTGATAAACTATAACATGTGACCTGAGTTCAATTATGTTGCAATTGGAATACTTATCTCGGGAAATCCTCTACGCAGTTCAGCCACAGATTTATTTCAAAACTAGATGGTACAAATTTAAAACAAATAAAAATTTATTCTTTGAAATTGATGGATTCGATTTGAATTATTGTTAAGTTTATATTTTTTAAAGCAATATTAAAATGATTAGTTACCCAATGAATAGCTTTTAAGAACATAGTTTTAAATGTGAGCTAGATAAAAAAATACTCATTCCGCTTAAATATAGACATTCCATAATAGAGTTTTAAGTTTTAAGTTTAATTGTTTTTCTAAATAGAGATAATGCAATAAGCGGTAACAAATACAAATAACGGCAGACAGTCTACCTGGTGGTAGGCGAATACTTTGGCCCGTAGACACAGACATTTATTCTCAGCTAAAAATTAAAATACAGATGCGATGACAGCCTTGAGGACTAAGATTGAATGTCTCGTCAGTCTCTGTTCCGATTCTTGTCACTCGACACACTTAGCATTATACTAATGTTTGACGTGGTTTTCTGACAGGCATTTTCCAGGTTAAAACATTGTTTTTTACAAAATTTAAGTGACAAACGAACTTCCAGTCCACTAGACACTTAGTGAGGTGTAAGTTCATTTGACTGATAAAGTTGTACGTACGCATATTTTTTTAACAAAACTTAACATATCTGTATTTTTTTAGGCAAGGCAATTCTTTGAAGGATTTTTTTTTAATCATTTTTCATATGCTTATGACATGATATTTCTTAAGTTATGGATAAAGTACAAATTTGGACCAAAGTGCCCTTTAGCTTGAGACTTTCTTAAGCAACCGCCAAACATCAAGTATCTTAAGTACTGTTGATTATCACTGTTCACGTAATAAAATAAATATTAGACAGCATTATCAGTGCTGGATATAACCATCCCAGCATGATGACCATCGGCAAATCTTAGAAGTTAAATTATGTTCAGGAATGTAATTAAACGGCTACTATGAAATATTTTAGTAACTGAAACACCGTCAGTCAATATTTTAGCGCAGTAATAGTCACTTCCAGGAAAGTTAATACTTTGCTTCATATATATTTTCTATAATATCTACGCAGTAAATCGGGGATTAAAATTTTCCAAGTTTGCAGTGTATATAAGCAAGTGCTGGTTCAGTATCGCATCGATAAGCAAAAGAACATTGTCAATAATACTGACTATAAGGCGAAAAATAAAATCATAATACAAGTCAAAATGTGCAAATCCATAACAATAATTCTTTCAGTTTTGATGGTCTGCGCTAATGGTCGGTATTTAATTAAGGAGGATTACAGAAGCCCATATGTATTTGTTGAAGATGGTCGCAACGTCAGAGTTTACGATTTGGAAGAAGCTTTGTCGGAAGATCAGCAGGAGTTGTCCCACGAGAATAATCTTTCGCGAGCTCGTCGTCAAGCCCATGGAGCTCTAAGTTCGAACCCCGATGGAACATCAAATGTAATGGCGAAGGTGCCACTATCTGTTGATGATAAAAACATGTTAAGTGCAGTTGGTACTGTTAGTGGAGCGTCTGGTAATGGGGACTTCAAGGCGGCTGGTGGCGGTTTGGCTTGGGATAATGTGTAAGTGTGTTTGCATTAAGTAATATTAATAATATTATAATATAGTTTATAAATAATTATTTCCGATTAATGCGTTCCATTGGCTATTTAGCCTAACAAACTCCATTTGACTTGCTCCTTTAAGGTTGACTGCCTCGTTGGTCTAGTATGTAAGCTCGACTGCTAAACGTGTTCTCCTGGGTTCGAATCCAAGCTCGATAAAAAACATTCTTACATGTAACTACAGGACTAATAATAGTGGTTAACTCGTATTAGTTGAAATTGCAATGTCAAATGTATTCTTTTTCTTTTAAACTTATAAATTAAATTACGACGGATCACTTGATTGGAATTAGAGTACTTTTAATAAATGTAGTATTGATTCCTGAATTTACTAATGTGCCAAATTTTCAGCAAAGGGCATGGCGCAAGTGTAACTGGACAGCATATACCTGACTTTGGAGATCAATTGACCGCGGCCGCGAAATTAAATGTGCTTCACAACGATAAACATGATGTTACCGCTCAAGCTTTTGCAACGAGAAGCTTTCCCAGCAATCCCAACGTTCCCAACTTTGACACATACGGTGGCAAAGTTGGATACACATACGAGTAAGTATAAAAGTTGAGAGCGTTTTATAGCATGGTAAGGTATGGGCCCCGCTGTCCCTATTGCTATGTGTTGGTAGACTTCAATGTTTATAGTTATTTAAAAAAAATTCAGTCATTTAAGTTTTCTCATGGTGTTCACCATTATGTACGTAATACACGAGCATTCAATATTGCGATTAACAAATGTCAGTGGTGCTGGCGGGGATCGAATACGGTTTATTTGCGTAATTTTTTTGAAACCTGAGTTTAATGTTAATTATACGAATTCATTCAATTGAATTTACTGTATAATATTGGGTTTGTCATGTGCACTCTGTGGTATATGACTGAGAAACATTTTGAGAGCATGTAGTGTTTTGGGTTGCAGCAGCAGTGCGGCGGGGCTAACCATAAACCTCTCAAAAATGAGAAGAGTCCTGTGCAGCAGGTCGAATAACTGTAACTTATTTCTTATATTTCAGTAACAAACTGGGAGCATCTCTTGGTATGCAATACACGGATCTTTTCAAGAAGACTGACTACTCAGCGATGGGCAATTTAAACCTGTTCAAAGGGCGTGACTCTTCCCTAGACTTGAATGCGGGTATGAGCAAGTCTGTGTCTCCGTACATACCCAGCAGCAGATGGGAGCCAAGCGCTGGCCTCTCTTTCACTAAGTGGTTTTGAAATGTAAGAAAAATAGGCAAATATAAATAGTAATATGTTAGACAGTTTATAATAAATTATTTAACTAAGAATTTCGTTTTTGATTTACAAGTTAATTTACAAATGTTTGAGTTACGCAAGCGTAATATAGTATATTAGTTCAATCATTTTAGCTGAAAGTTTAGTTTTTCAAAAATTTCCCACTTTCCCGCCAAGATATGTATAACTAAATTAAAGAGTAGAGTATGCTCTTTTAAAGGTATAAGGCATATGTACGCTATAAAGCAATAAAAAAGACAATTTATATAAAATTATTTAATTAATAATTTCGTTTTTGATTTATTAGTTACTTACAAATGTTTGAGTTACGCCAGCGTAATTTGGCGGTTCAATCATTTTGGCTGAAAAATTGGCAAAATTAATGGAGTAACTTTATCTATTGGCACATGTACGTTATAGAACTAAGTTAAATTATATCCACTCTCTGTCTCCCTCCCGAGTAAGCATCACCCCCACTCCCTCCCCCGTGCCCTAGAAACAATTTTTTTTGCTCACAGTTTAGTATCATCAAAAATTTCCAAATTTACCACCAGATAAGTATGACTAAAATAAAGAATAGATTATGTTCTTTAAAAAAATGTAAAGTTTATTTCTAAACTTTTTTATTTCTTGTAAACTTAAGTCATTCAGTCAGTCAGTCTAATCGACGAGAGTAGCTGATGATGGTGAAAATTCAAAATAGTATTTCGAATTGATATTAAATAGTTTTGAAATAAATTATACCTCTACTATAAGAGCATATTTCACGCTCTCACAGAATACCTGCGTAAAATAGCAGCTTAATGCTGCTGTGTTTCGTATGGTGTCCCAATACTATACAAATAGGGTGTATGGTTATTTGACCCTTCGTGCAACTACTAGAAATGAGCTAGGATGTCCAACCTACAGGACGTCCAAAGGGAGATGCTTCGCTTTTTAGCGGAGCGTTTCCCCGACGTGAACCCGGGAGAGCTTATGCTCACCCCACTGTTGCCGGAACTATCCCCGGCCCACGAAGACTCCGATATGGAGCACTCCGGCGCGATGGCGTCAGTGGATGAGGGGTCCAAGGTGACCAAACCGGCCCGCCGCACCGGAAGTGGCGTGCTAATAGTGGCGAGGTCCCCCGCCCCCTCCCTTTCTCAGACCCCTTCCCAACCTCACTCTCGGGTTTCCTCCCGTGCGCCCTCTAGGGCCTCGAGTGCGGGCTCCTTCTACTCTGCGGCCTCCTCGGGAGAGGACACCGAAGTGGAAAGGCGCCTCGAGATTGCATCATCTTCCGGAGACGAGGGCTTCACCCTCGTCGAAGGTAGAAAAAGGCGTCGGTCTGCTAAAAAGGCGGACTCCTCCAGGCCGGCGAAGAAAGTTGCCTCGGCCCCCTCCTCCGTTGCGCCCCCCCTCAGGGGGGTCAATCCTCCTCCAAAAAAGGGGAATCGGCTAAGGCAGATTCGGGACCAAAAGGTCCTAAAAGCCCGCCACCGGTTATCATTCAGGATAAGGCCACGTGGGATCGTATATCCCGCATCTTAGCCGAAAAGAAGTTTAACTCGGGGGTAACAATAGAACCCCCGCACAAGAAAAAGGTGCGTGGACAGTGCCATAGATGCCAGCTCTTCAGCCCCAAGAACTTCAGGGCCAATTAGGCCCGAAGTTCTTGTTTACTGTTAACTTGGCTCTGTTTTATTCTATCTAAATAGATAATACAACAACAGCTAGAATAAAACCTAGGTCGATAGCTGTCGCCTTTTTCAATGCGCGTGGCCTTAAATATCAAATTGACGAGGTCCGAACCTTCCTCACTGATCATCAGATTGATATATTGCTAGTGCAAGAGACATTTTTTAAGCCTAGCATTAGAGACCCAAAAATTGCCAATTATAGAATAATTAGGAACGATCGTTCAGGGGCACAGTTAGGAGCGACCCTTATTTATTATACGTCGTCCCTACACGTAGTTCACATCGACACGCCTCAATTAATGGATTTAGAGGCCTCCGTTTGCAGAGTAGCCATGACCGGTCATCAACCGATCACGGTAGCCTCTGTATATCTTCCACCTAAGAAAAAGATAATAAAAAGCGATTTTGAAGCTCTATTTAACCTCAGTAATTCGGTTATATTAGCAGGCGATTTAAATAGTAAGCATCAAGTCTGGACTAATAATAGGAACGTCCGGAACAACGCCAAAGGCTGTGACTTATTAGCTCTTAGTGATAGCCTGGAATTCAATATAATGGCTCCTCCGGATGATACTAGATATTCGACAATTTCAAATCATAGTTCGACTAAAATCGACTTAGCACTCTTTAGGAACGTAACCTTATCGTTACGCTCCATAGAAGTGGTGCACGAGTTAACATCAGACCACCGCTCTGTCATAATATTGTTAGGACGGTCCAGCAGTGAGGTTCTTCCAACCAAAACTGTTAAGGACTGGCATAGGTTCGAGGCTAACCTATGAACTATGAACTCAGAATATTTACATCAAGTGCCAGACACTATTGACACAAAAGAGGTGGCATTAGAAGTCATCTCTCATATCACCTCTCACATTAAGATGGTTGCCGGGGAGTCTTTGAGGCAGCTCAAGGCGTCGAGTGATCGTTGCTTTGAGCTCCCCGGGGATGTACGGCGATTACTGAGGGAGAAAAACGCTGCGGTGAGGGCCTATGATCGTTATAGAACCGTCAATAATAGGTCCAATTTGCGCCGCCTCTATAGAGAGGTCAAGGAGCGCATGGCCTAGCTGAGGGAGTCACGATGGGACAATCTGATGGAGGATATCTCGCCCTCAGATACAGCTTTCTGGAAGCTGGCGAGAGCTCTTAAATCAGAAAATGTCGCTTTGATGCCCCCATTAGTTATATCTGATGCTCAGTTAGCGTTCGATGACTCGGAGAAGGCCGAGTGCATGGCGGATAGGATCGAAAGCCAATGCTCCCCAAGCACCCTGCCAATCGACCCCGTCCACCTGAACAAGGTGAACGATCACACCGCCGACGGATGACCCACTTCCACCCGTTACTTTTGATGAGGTGAAAACCATCATCAAAAATCTCAAACCCCGAAAAACGCCAGGCGCTGACGGTTTTAACAATAAAGTTTTTAAAGCCCTGCCTCCTAAGTTAATCTGCCTACTAGTGGCTATTTTCAATGTTTTAACGTCCACCTGCACCTTTCTAGAAGTGTGGAAAGAAGCAGAAGTGATCGGTATTCCAAAACCGAACAAACCCAGAGATAGGGCAGACCCATCAGTCTCCTCAGTGCTATGGGGAAAAACTATGAGCGCATCATCCTCAAACGTCTGAAGGATGCAGTGCTAAGTAAAAACCTAATTCCAAACGTTTTCGTGCCAAACACTCAAGTGTTCAGCAGGTGCACCGCCTCACGGAGCACATTTTAGATCAGGCCACAAAGGCGAACAGGCGCCCTGTTTACACAGGAGCATTGTTCTTCGATGTGGCCAAGGCCTTCGACAAAGTTTGGCACAATGGACTAGTCTTCAAACTTATCCATACAGGTGTGCCTTCAAGACTTGTCAAAATCGTTCAAGATTTTCTTGCAAATAGATCCTTTCGTTTTCGCTTGGAGGGTACTTTCTCCTCTTCCAGACCTATCAGAGTAGGGGTTCCCCAGGGCTCTGTGCACTCCCCGACCCTATACTCACTTTACGTATATGACATCCCTTCGATACCAGGTACTCATCTCGCACTATACGCGGATGATACTACCATCTACTCTTCAGATGTCCACCCTATTATAATCGGCAGTCGACTCCGAGCTGCAGCAAACGCACTAGACGATTGGTGCAGAAAATGGAGAATCGAACTGAACCCCGATAAGAGCAAAGCCGTCTTTTCTAACAGAAGGTGTTTCTATAACACATTTATGGCACAGATTAAAAAATATAAAAAAGGTACGATCTCCCTCTACGGCAGCCCAATCCCATGGGTCCGAGAGTTGAAATACCTGGGGGTGACCTTAGATTGTGCAATAAGCTTCTCTCAGCACATTACAACTGTCAGGAACAAGGCAAAATTCGTTGTGTATCGTCTCTTCGCCTTAACCAACAAAAGCAGTAAGCTGTCCCTAAGGCACAAACTGCATCTCTATAGAATCTGCGTACGTCCTATTATGACATACGTGGGTGTGTCCTTTGCTCACGCCTCCAAAAAGAGTGTAAAACAACTCCAAGTTGTTCAAAATAAATTCCTGCGTCAGATCACAGGAGCTCCCTTCTATGTGAGGATCGCGGATCTTCACCGCGACCTCGATATGCCCACTATACACACGTATCTGAAGGAATTATCCTTAAGATACTTCGATTCGATAAAGGAACAAGAAAATCCGTTGGTAAATGAGGCGGGCTCGTACTACCCACTGAGGGATGCTCCAAGATGTCCCAAGAACGTTCTTCTTGATCCCGACGACGAGATCACTTCCATGAATAGGTCGATCCCGTCCCCTCCCTCCACAGGAGAGGGAACTAGTTTAGTAACCATAAACACTCACACACACTCAGACACTACTCTAGTACAGAACACTAGGGCACACCGCATTCGCCGGCGAATGCGTCGTCACAGTCACATTCCGTACACGAGGTTTAACACCCGTGATACGGGGCGTTTCTAACTTTTGCGACCCGTTAACAAAATTGCAATAGCGATTCAAGCCGAGGTACGTACCTCCTTCTGCGGGGCCCTTGAATCGGATCGAGCCCCCCCCCCCCCCCTAGCTCGAGGAGCCTCAGTCCGAAAGCAGGGGTCGGGGTGCCTCGGGACTGGAGTCGGCGAAGCGCCGCCGGCAGAATCGTTGCACTCAATAGATCGTAAGCCTAATTACGAGCCTAATTAGATGAAGCTGTCAAGGCCGCACAGCAAACAGCATACACATTCAGATAAAAAACGTACTTTTGCCGATAGATAAAAGTATCTACTCCATTAATTTTGCCAATTTTTCCATACATTGCAATCTAGAATGCTTGAACTATATAAACATTAATAATATTTAAAGATTTCAAAACCAATATTATTTTTTTTGTATTCTAA